GTTCATTGTTAAATGGAGAACATTGTTTTCTAGGTCTCGACGACAGTGATATGGTGAGTTGGCATTCAGTTGCATGCGAGGGGTCTTTTTGCGACCGTGATGCGTGTAATGCCACCTTTGTAATGTGTGCCTCATGCCAGTGTTTGTTGTGCATGTGATTGTGTAAGGTGTGCCTCACGCCAGTGTTTGTTGTTTGTCTAGACTGCACCTATGCATACCTTGCTGGTGTAAGGTGTTAGGAGAAAAGGGAAGGGAAGATCAATGGTATTTCACACTAGATAATCAGTACAAATTCTTTTGAGAGCTTTAAGTTTGAAGGTTGGGCAACAGGAAGTTGTCCAACACACAGAAGCACAGCGACCACCCCCCCCCACGAATGTCACCATGGGTTGTACCACACAGTTGAAAAAAAAGCAAAAATGTCGACAACAAACAACATCACACACCATCCACACGCAAAGGTTGCGAAAGAACAGAGCAATGCAAAAGAACGGGAGTCCAAACAACATACAAACGTTTCTCTGCAAAAGAAACACTTTCATGGGAAAAGTATAACACAACACAATTGCCGACACAGGGGCCGGATGCCATGTGCGGATTTCAAAACCACACATATTCAAATGTACAAAAGAAAAGTAAGTAACCAACCAACGACACACAACTGCGGCGATCAACTACCAGAAAAACGGAAACCCGCGACACCCGTGAAGGTCGTGGCCTATGTAACCGTGCGTTCAATGAACGCGGGTTCCCCGTTCAGTTTTTAAACGCGTTGAACGCTCGTTCACTGAACGCGTGTGAACGTTTTTGACGCGTTTGCGGCTAGGCTGAAACACGTCGGGTGGGGGGTGTTTCGGCAAGGGGAGGTTGTGGGAGGTGTGGAAAGGGTGCGGGCACCCCCTGATCACTCAATACGAACTAAAAACAAAAGAAAATGAAGAAAAAAAAACAAACTAATGTGTGTGTGTGTGTGTGTGTGTGTGTGTGTGTGTGTGTGTGTGTGTGTGTGTGTGTGTGTGTGTGTGTGTGTGTGTGTGTG